CTACAGTCCCTCCAGCATTTGTTATTGGTTGATTTCTTGATAGCAGCCATTCTTTCTGGGGTGAGGTGGAATCTCAGTGTTGTTTTCATCTCCATCTCTCGAATGACCAGTGATGTTGAACATTTTTTCATATGTTTATTTGCTGCTTTTACTTATTTAAGACAAATTAAATTTTTAAAATGAGTTACATCACCATTGCCTGCCCTTTAGGGCCTGCCCAGGAACCCCCTCACCCCCAGCAAAAAGCTGCTGAGTGCCATGAGCCCTCCACACCACTGAGTTTGTCAGCCGGACAGTGATGCTTTGTGGAGTGTGGACAGAATTAGTTGCAGGTGGGGACCTGGAGAGGCACTGTGTACCTAGGATGGATTGCACAGTGCAATCACCGAGAGTGCAATAGAAAGAGCAGACATTAGCAGCTGCCTGGATTCTCACAGAGGAAAGGAATGGAGATTGAGAAGCCCTCTTCAAAAATCAGTGGAAGACTGGGTACCTGACCAGTCACACTGTGCCCCCCAACTCTGACACAATTGAAGGTATCCAGTTGTAAAACAGAGGCAAAAAAAATTCTGGGTAGCAGGGCACTGCAGAGGGAAAGAGGAAGGCTCAGCAGTCTGTATGGATTCCCCCTGTCCCAGTTACAAATCAAACTTTCTCCATTTGTGAATGTAGGGGAAAGAGGCCCCTGACTCTGAACTCTGACTGTGATATAAATACTGTAGTACTGAGAGCACTGTTTGTGTTTTCGTATGTGCTTTTAATTTTTCTATATAGTTTTTGTATATGTGAAAAGGACAATAAAAGTTAGTGCTTTAGTTTAAATAGTATCTTCCATGGATATGTCTAGTTAACCTTCACAAAAAGCTCCGTATAGAGGATTCAAACACAAACTTTATATCAGCATATTAATTAGTTTCAACTTTCTCACAGCTTCCCTCAAAATATAGTTATATGTCCCTCCCTCTTTACCCTTTTCCTACTCCCACACATACCTTCTCAAATGCCCTCTCCACTAGCCCTCAACTCCAGATATAAAAATAATATCAATAAATTACTATCTCTTTTCTTTTTTTCTCCTTTCCTTCTTTATGAATTATTGTCTTCCTTTTCCTTCCCTTATCCTCTACATCCCAGCCTACCTGTCAGCAGTATTATATGAGTCTTTCTGAGTTATTAAAAAAAGTGAAATTATTAAATCAAATTATACTTTTTTTTTCTTTTTTTTGGGGGGGGTACCAGGTATTGAACTCGGGACCTTATGCTTGCGAGGCAGGCGGTGGAACCACTGAGCTAAATCCCCAGCCCCTAAATCAAATTTTAAATTACATGATTGATATATAGTTGACTCTGTAGATCCTGATATAATCAATACGGGTTCTCTCCTTGCAGTTTAGCAACCCAGACTGATCCTATTATATTCAATAGGTTGAAGAGTGTATAAATGCCAAATCTACTTAAGTCAAGATCACATCACGAGGAAATGTACACTAACTAAAGAAATCTCCACAGCAGCAAAAGTGTTTTTCCTACCATAACTGATCCTCAAGCCTCAGCACAAAAATCAGTAGAAACATGAGGGAAAAAAATGCAACAAGATCCTTGCAAAACTTCTTAACAGCCTAAAAGTTGATCTCATAGTTAAAATGTTTGAAGAGAATGAAGAAGAAACAAATAAATCCATAAGCTTTTCAGCAACCCCTCAAAAAAAAAAAAAAACCCAGATGAAAGAAAGAGAAATAGTGAAAAAAAAATTTAAACAATGAATTAAAAAAAAAAACTCCTTGTTTTTGAAGGATTGGTTTCTTTCCAGCATCAGAAGTCTTGGAATCCAGCAAGTCATGCTTTTCTTAGCCTAGCTTTAGGGCCTTGGGTTTGTGAGATGCACAACCTGCACCAAAGGGCCCCTCTGTTCATCTCAGACTGTGGTAACTGTCCTGGCTGAAGTGTGTTCTTGCACTTTGGTAGATGGGAAAAACAACCAGCCCTCTGTTGGACTTACTGTCCACACTTGCTGGGCCTGGTTTCTCACTATGAAGGGCAAATGGCTTTCCTTCCTATCCTGGAGCTTAAACTTCTCAGGGGGTCTACGTTTAACCAGAATTCTCTTTGCTTATTTCCTGTGGTTATCTCTCACCATGTCACTTCGGGAGGTTGACCCTGGAATCCCTGAAGCTGCTAGCCAGGTCTGTACTTTCTCCCTGGTTCTGCTACCTTTGCAGGTTAACCTTCTCTCCTTGTGCATTGGTCTCATCCAAGATCAGGTCTGTCAGTTAGTCTGTGCTTCTGCTACTCCATGCCAAGGGGAAGCAAAACAGAGATGGCTTGGAGTTGGAGATAGTTCTAGATAGGCTGTGGCTTGCTGCAGTTTTTCTTCTGTCCCCAGGCATTGGTTTTGTCCATGATCTACCCTGTGAGAAGGAGACAAAATGAAGAGCAGTTCAGTTTTCTGGTTGCTAAGATCCAGGTCCCACTTTTTTTTTGGAATCATTTGATCATAATACTCTCGGAATTATATATGTATGTAGTATATATAATATATGACAGCAAATATCATGTCAAAACTGCCAGATAAAAAGTTTTAAAAAGTCACTGCACCATAGGACCATGATTTTTAAAACTCTTTATCCTGGTAATTTTGACAGGTATAGATGAAATTGAAAATAATAATTCTTCTTTAAATATTAGGAATAATAAGTCATTTATTAAATACTCTATTAGGCTAAAATGTTTTCATACATTATTTTACCTTTTTGGGGAGTTATGTGATGTAGGTCTTATAATCCACAGGTGTGCCTGCCTGGAACAGGATGGATCGGCATGTTCCCTGCTACGAGGTACCTCTTGACAGCATCCACATGTTTGCCTGTCTGGAACGGGATGGATGGGCATGTTCTCTGTGAGGAGGAACCCCGTGATTGCATCCACAGGTGTGCCTGTCTGGAATGGGCTGGAGTGGCATGTTCCCCATGTCTGGGACCCTGCGACGGCGTCCACAGGTGTGCCTTTCTGGAATGGGCTGGAGCAGCATGTTCCCCACAATGAGAGACCCTGCCATGGCATCCACAGTTGTGCCTGTCTCGAACAGGTTAGTGCAGCTTGTTCCCTGTAATGAGGGGCCCTGCGATGAGGGACCCTGTGATGGTGTCCACAGGTGTGCCTGTATGGAACGGGCTCAAGCGGCATGTTCCTCATGATGAGGGACCCCACGATGACATCCACAGGTGTGCCTGTCTGGAACGGGATGGATTGTCATGTTCCACACTATGAGGAACCCACGACGACGTCCACAGGTGTGCCTGTCTAGAATGGGCTGGAGGGCCATGTTCCCCATGACAAGGCACCCCGTGCTGTTGTCCACATTTGTGCCTGTATGGAATGGGCTGGAGCAGCATGTTCCACGCACCTAGGGTCCCCGTTACTTTGTCCACAGCTGTGCCTGTCTGGAACGGTATGGTGTGGCCTGTTCCCCATGATGAGGGACCCCATGATGGCGTGCACAGGTGTGCCTGTCTGTAATGGAATGGATTGACATGTTCCCCACAATGAGGAACCCTTGACAGTGTCCACAGGTCTGCCTGTCTGGAATGGGCTGGAAGGGCATTTTCCCCGCCATGAGGGACACCAAAACGGTGTCCACAGGTGTGCCTGTCTGTAACTGGCTGGATTGGCGTTATCTCCGCATTGAGGGACACTGCATTGTCGTCCACAGGTGTGCCTGTTTGGAATGGGCTGGTGCAGCCTGTTCCCCACGACTAAGGACCCCGTGCCATCATCCACAGGTGGCCTGTCTGGAAATGCCTTTAGTGGCATGTTCCCTGCGACAAGGGATGCCGCAATGGTGTCCACACTTTTGCCTGTCTGGAATGGGGTGGATTGGCATGTGTCCCTCGATGAGAAATGCCGCGATGGCTTCCACAGGTGTTCCTGTCTGGAACAGGCTGGATTGGCTTGTGCACCTCAATGAGAGACCCCGTGACAGTGTCCACAGGTGTGCCTGTCTAGAGAGGGCTGGAGCAGCATGTTCCCCTCGACGAGGGAGACCTCAACAGTTTACACAGGTGTTCCTGTCAGGAACGCTCTGGAACTATGTGTTCCCCTGAGGAGGGACCCTGCGATGGTGTCCACGGCTGTGCCTGACTGGAAATGGCTGGAGTGGCATGTTCCCTGAGACATGGGGCACTGTGAAGGTGTCCACAGTTTTGATTGTTTAGAATGTGGTGGATCGGCATGTGCTCATTGAAGAGAGACACCGTGATGGCATCCACAGTTGTGCCTGTGTGGAACAGGCTGGAGTGGTGTGTTCTTAGTGACTAGGGACCCCGTGATGGCATACACAGTTGTCCTTCTCTGGAATAGGCTGGGAGTTTTCCCTGGACAAGGGACCCCATGATGGCATCCACAACTGTGCCTGTCTGTAAAAGGTTGGAGTGGCATGTTCCCCATGACGAGGGACCCCGCAATGGCATCCTCATGTGTCTCTAGCTGGAACGGGCTAGAGCGGCATGTTCCCTGCATCTTGGGACCCCGTGATAGCATTCCAGTCTGTAAGGGAATGGATTGGCATGTTCCTGTGATGAGAAACCCCTGACAGTGTCCACAGTTGTACCTGTCTGTAATGAGCTGGAGGGGCATGTTCCCCAAGATGAGGGACACCATGATGGTGTCCACAGGTTTGCATGTCTGGAATGGCCTGGAGGGGAGTTTTCCCCATGACAAGTAGCCCCATGACAAGTAGCCCCACAACGGCATCCACAGGTGTGCCTATCTGGAATGGGCTGGAGCGGTGTGTTCCATGCAACAAGGGACCCCACGATGGCATCCAAAGTTGTGCCAGTATGGTATGGGATGGAGTGGCATGTTCCCTGCATCCAGGTCCCCCTGACATCCTCCACAGATTTGCCTTTCTGGAAAGGCATAGTGTGGCCTGTTCCCTGCAATGAGGGACCCCGTGAAAGTGTTCACAGGTGTTCCTGTCTGGAATGGGCTACAGCAGGATGTTCCCCACAAAGAGGGACCCCCTACCATCATCCACAGGTGTGCATGTCTGGGAAGGGCTGGATCAGCATGTTTCCTACATCTAGGGTCCCCGTGACTATTTCCACAGGTTTGCCTGTCTGGAAGGGGATGGTGCAGCCTGTTCCCCATGACAAGTGACATCGCGATGAGGGACCCTGCAACGGTGTCCACACATGTGACTGTCTGGAATGGGAGTGTCATGTTCCCCTTGACGAGGGACACCACGACGGTTTACATAGGTGTGCCTGTCTCGAAAGATCTGGGGCTATATGTTCCCCTGATGAGGGACCCTGTGACAGTGTCCACAGTTGTGCCTGTCTGGCACAGGGTGGATCGGCATGTTCCCCACAATGAGGAACCCTGTGATGGTGTCCAAAAGTGTGCCTGTCTGGAACGGGCTGGAATGGCATCTTCCCTGTGACTAGGGACCCCACGACAGCATCCACAGGTTTCTCTGGCTGGAATGGGCTGGAGATGAATGTTCCCCAAAACAAGTGGCCCCATGATGGCGTTCACAGGTGTGCCTGTCTAGAATGGTCTGGAGCTGTGTGTTCCCCTAATGAGGCACCCAGCAACAGCATCCACAGGTGTGCCTGTCTGGAATGGGCTGGATTGGCATATTGCCCATACCGAGGGATGCTGCGATGGCATCCAAATCTGTGCCAGTTTGGGATGGACTATATCAGCATGTTCCCCGTGACCAGGTACCCCACAATAGCATCCACATGTGTTCCTGTCTGGAATGGGTTGGTTCGATGTGTTCCCCATGATGAGGAAACCCATGATTGTGTCCACAGTTGTGGTTGTATGGAACTGACTGGAGTGGTGTGTTCTGCATGAGGAGGGACCCTGCAATGGCGTCCACAGGTATGCCTATCTGGAATGGGCTGGAGTGACATGTTTGCCGCCACAAGGGACACTAGGAGAACTTTCACACGTGTGCCTGCCAGAAACGGGCTAGAGCAGTGTGTTCACCATGATGAGGGACCCCACAATGACGTCCACAGGTGTGCCTGTCTGGAATGGGCTCAAGGGGTGTGTTCCCCATGTTGAGGGACCCCACTCCAGCATGCAGAGTTGTGCCTGTCTGGAACTGGCTGGAGTGGCATGTTCCCCGCTCGAGAGACACCGTGACAGCATCAACAGGTTTGCCTGTCTGGAACAGGCTGGAGGGGTGTCTTCCCCACAAAGAAGGACACTGCGATGGTGTCCACAGGTGTACCTGTATGGAACAGGCCAGAGGGGTGAGTTCATTGTGACAAGGGACACCACAATGCCGTCCACAAGTGTGCCTGTCTGGAAAGGGATGGAGAGGCATTTTCCCCTCGAGGAGGGACCCCACAACAGCGTCCACAACTGTGCCTGTTTGGCATGGGATGGATTAGCGTGTTTCCCACAATGAATAACCCCACAATGGTGTCCACAGGTGTGCTTATCTGGAATGGGCCAGAGCAGCATCTTCCCCATGACTAGGGACCCTGCGACAGCATCCACACATTTGCCTGTCTGGAATGTGCTGGAGGAGAATGTTCCCCACAATGAGCAGCTCCACGATGACATCCACTGGTACGCCTTTCTGGAATGGGCTGGAGTGTTGTGTTCCCTGTGACGATGGACCCCGGGATGGTGTTCACAGATGCACCTGTATGGATCGGGCTGGAGCAGCATGTTCCCGGCAACTAGGCCCCCATGACTTTCTCCACAGTTGTGCTTGTCTGGAACGGGATGGTGTGGCCTGTTCCTCGTAACAAGGGACCCCATGATGAGGGACCCCACAACGGCATCCACAGGTGTGCCTGTCTGGATCAGGATCAAGCATCATGTTCCACATGACGTGGGACCCCATCAGAGCATCCACAGCTGTGCCTGTCTTGAACAGGCTAGAGGAACATGTTCCCCATGACAAGGGACCCTGCTCCATTCTCCACAAGTGTGCCTGTCTGGAAAGGGCTGGAGCAGCTTGTTCCTTGTGAAGAGGGACCCTGCGACTGTGTCCACAGGTTTGCTTTCTAGAATGGGGTGGACCAGCATGTTCCCCGCAACAAGTGATGCCACAATGGCATCCACAGATGTGCCTGTCTTTTAACAGGCTGGATCGGCGTCTTCCTCATGAGGGACCCCACATCATTGTGCACAGTTGTGCCCGTCTTTAACAGGCTGGAGTGGCGTGTTCCTCATGACGAGGGACCCCATGAGGGCATCTACATGTGTCCCTGGCTGGAACATCCTGGAGCAGCATATTCCCCGTGTCTTGGGACCCCACGAAGGTGTCCAAATGTGTGCCTGTCTGGAACAGGATGGATTGGTGTGTTCCCTGCTATGAGGAACCCCTGACAGTGTCCACAGGTGTGCCTGTCTAGAACAGGCTGGAGGGGCATGTTCCCCATGATGAGAGACCCTATACCATCATCCACAGTTGTGCCTGTATGGAACAGGGTGGAGTGGCATGTTCCCCAAAACTAGGGTCCCCATGACTTCGTCCACAGCTGTGCCTGTCTGGAACAGGATGGTGTGGACTGTTCCCCATGATGAGGGACCCCATGATGAGGGACGGTGCAATGGTGTCCACAGGTGTGCCTGTCTGGAATGGGATGGATCAACATGTTCCCCACGACAAGGGATCTAGTGACGGTGTCCCCAGGTGTACCAGTTTGGAATGGCCTTGATTGGCATGTTCTCGACGAGGGACCCCACAATGGTTTACACTGGTGTGACTGTCGAATGGTTTGGAGCTGCATGTTCCCCCAATGAGGGACCCTGCAACGGCTTCCACAGGTGTGCCAGTTTTTAATGGACTGTATTGGCATGTTCCCCATGACAAGGTATCCCACAATGGCATCCACATGAGTGCCTGTCTGGAACGGTTTGGTTCGATGTGTCTGCCATGACGAGGAAACCTGCAACAGTGTCCACAGTTTTGCTTGTGTGGATCAGACTGGAGCGGCATGTTTCGCATTATGAGGGACCCTGTGATGGCATCCACTGTTGTGTCTGTCCGGAATGGGCTAGTGCGGCATGTTCCCCACCACAAGG